GTATAACAGCTTGTGTGTGTGTGTGTGTGTGTGTGTGTGTGTGTGTGTGTAAAACTATGTAGTATACATGCATACTTCCTAAACAGAATTGTTTATTTAACAGAGTGCATACTCAAAATCTTCTTACTGATAGAAGTGCATGATAACTTGTTTGGAGAATTATGGATTATGAGAGCAATTTCTGGCCTCCAATAAATTTTTTTTTATTTTTTACTGCTATCAGAATTGCTAAGTGAATTTAACAACAATATCTGAAGGACTGTATTTGAACCACACACATCTCTACACTGCATCAAATTTATGAGCTATCCTTTACCTTTTTCTCAAATTATACTAGTCTGTTTGATGGAAATTTACTTCAATACCCAAGTATCCATAATTTTTATCATAATCAGATAACATTTCTGCTAACTTTCTAAGCTCTCCTCATTATTTACATTTAAGTAAAATGTTTTTATAAGAGCCAATATGAAAACATTCAGAATTCTAGGGACCAGCTTTTACTGACTCCCAGCAGGAACTCTATGGATCACAGAGCTAGTGAATGACCGGCATGCCCTTTGCATCATGCACTAATGCACCTGAGATATGGAGATTGCTCAGTCTCACCTGCTTTTTCACGCTTTCATTAAATTGGTGCCTCACTTTCTTGATGTTCATGGATCATTCCAACCTCAATTTGCTACTTTCTCGTGTCTCTTACATACTCTTGATTCTTTGTCACATCTCAGTTTTTTCAGAACAAGTCAATGTTTGTATTCTCCATCAAATGACTGGTTATAAGCATACCAAGTATCTATGTGGAGGTTTAGAAAAAAAGCAATTCACACACTACCTAGCAGCCAATAGATGCTCAATAAAAGATGCTGAGGTAAAATTTTCTCCTGGACCTAGTGTCTCACTTCTCACAAATAGGATACAACAAAAGTCACAGTATACCACTGCCAATATCAGTTATAAAAACTAACCAATGATCCTTCTATTGCCAGACTTTCTTTTTCTGAGCTCTGTATCACTCCATTTAACTCTGTTTCACACAGTGAAAACACTTTACACATGTGCACTTAAAATCTGCTGAGGAATTGAAATGATTAAATAACTTACAATTCTAGAAACTATTATGTAATTAAATATTCTAATAAGTCATCAAATATCTGCCAAAGCTTACTTACTACTCCTCTGTCTACATACTATGTACAATTTTACTCATTCTTTTAAATGTATTTTTAATTGTTCAGCTAATGTGAATTTCTTCTATTCGTTTCAAATTTTAGCATTTTTGTAATTACAGTATGCTATGATTTGAATGGCTGTCCACTCCAAAACTCGTGTTGAAATTTGTCATAGTGGTGCTGTTAGGAGGTGTGATGTTGAAAGGTAACAGGGCCATGAGAGGTCTACTCTTATGTGTAGGAATGTCATTATTACACTGAAACCATGTAAAGACAAAGAGGATGTGGAATTTGACAGAGCTAATCCAGTCATATTGGTTTGTTGTGTGTGTGTGTTTTTTTTCTTTTTGGAACCAGGGATCAAACCCAGGATCTTGCACTTTTGAGGCATGCATGGCACCACTGAGCTAAATCTCTGGCTCTAGTCATATTGTAAATGACCCAAAAAATTACAACAATAATTTTAGGAAATCCACTTAGCTTAGAGAATAACTTACCCCTTTATAAACAGCTGATATATTTAGTGTTCAATTAAGTATGTAAACTGGCAATTAAACCATTTAATAATCTTGGAAAAATAATAATATAGTCTGATTGCGTGTGTGCGTGTGTGTGAGTGTTTTGTCTTTGTATGTAGAAGGGAAGGACAGAAAGAGGGAGAGGGAGGAGGGAGAGAGAAAGAGGAAGACAGGGACAGAAGGATAGAGAAGGAAAGAAGGGGGAAAGAGAGGAAGGAGGGAAGGAAAGAGGAGGGGGAGGGAAATAATGTTGAGGCTTGAATTATCCACTCAATATAGGTGCAAGCCTATACCAGTGCTCTGGGAAGCTGAGGCAGGAGGATCACAAATTCAAGCTCAGCCTGCATGATTTTGCAACTTAGCAAGACCCTATCTCAAAATAAAAAAATAAAAATAGCCAGGGATATAGCCTGGTGTGAAGCGCCTGGATTCAATCCCCAGCAGCATGAATGAATGAATGAATGAATGAATTTAAAAAGTGGTCCTAATAGTAAAGCTCCTGATAATCTATCAATCTCATTTCATGCAACCTTATAATCAACAGAATAATTTAAATATTTAAAACGTATTAAATTGGAAAACAACCCAAGCTAGAGTTATTATATAGTTCAGAGTTCTAAAGGCAAATGAAATAAATTGGTCTATTTAAAATTGAAAGTATTTTGGTATAACCACAATGAGAAAAAAAACCACCTCAGTAAGTAGGAATCAACTGATGCAGATACATTACATGTAAGACTGGAGAGTGATTATCACTATCTCTGATCTAACAGGCAACTAGAGAGCACTGCAACCTTCTCAGCTGAGGCAAACACTCTCAAAGTGATAATCATGATGGATTAGACAGGACAAACTTAAGAGGCAGTAAGCTGGGCACAAGAAAATAAATACTAAGATTAAAATAGAACTAGTAAATAATCAAAGCACATAAGCAGCAATAGTAAAAGGGAAAAAATAAGGAATTTTAACAACACATGGTCTTATTTATAGCAGGGGTTGGCATACAGACAAAATCAGGCCTGTTGTCTGTTTTGCAAATTACGTTTTATTAAAAAGCCACAATGGCCATCAGCTCATGTATGATCTATAGCTGCTTTTATATAGTGGCAAAATTGAGTACTTCCATCAGAGACAAAATAGCACAAAAAAACTAAAAAATTTACTACCTTTATTAGTTTCCTAAAACTGCCATAACAAAGTAACACAAACTGAGTGGCTTGAAATAAGCAAAATTTAATCTCTTACAGATCTGGAAGCTAAAAATTAAAAATTAAGGTTATCATTACGGTCATTAATTAAGGTCAGCAGGGTCACGCTCAAAGACTGTAGGGGAGATGTGGCCTATGATTGTCTCTTAGCTGCTGGTGTCACCAGCAATCTTTAGCGCTCCTTGACCTGCAGCTGCACATCCCTCATTGTCACATGGCTGTCCTCTTCCCAAAGTCTGTGTCTCCACAGGGTGTTTTCCTCCACTAGTCACTAGTCACATTGAATTAATGTTCTAGCCTGCTCAGGTATGTCCTCATCTTAACTAATTCCATCTCTAATGGGACTCTATTTCTAAATAAGGTCAGCCTGTATTACTAAGGATTAGGACTTCAATACATTTTTTTGTTTTTAATTGGTTCATTTTAGATATACATAGTGATCACATTCATCATAGGGAATTTATATCTGTACATGATATATCTTGATTCTTCTCTTTTTTTCCCCAATCCTCACCCCTCCCATTAACCCCTCTTCCCCTCGTCTACAAAATCTTTGTTTCCATTTTTTTTCTTCTGTTCCTTTTTTCTTTTCCCTTCCTTCTTTTCCGCCCTCTCCCCTCCCTTGTTCTGCTTCCCATTTGAACATTTTTATGTATAACAGATAATTGGGAAATGGTAAGAAAATGTTCAATATATGTTTTTGGAGGACATATTTCAAACTGTAACTTGGTTCTTTACAGAAAAATGTCTGCCAACTTCTAATTTGGAAGAATAAGATCTAAAGAGATAGGTACAGAAGTACCACTGAATAGTGAGGGATTTAAAATAGGTGAGAGAAATTCTGCTTTAAAAATCTAAAATGATGAGGTCAAGTACTGATCTTTAGAAAATGTCATGTTAAATAACAGTATTATCAGAGGATGTCACTGCTATGTAACATTAGATAATGATGTACGAAATAACATAATTTAATATTATCAAAAAAGAAGCATCTCTACAGAGAGGTTGAAAAGCCCTGAAAAATGAAAGGGGATTTGGGTAGAATGAGACACAACTTCTACGGAGAAATTAAATAAACAACCTCTATGGAGAAACTATGAGAAATACTAGACCAGGGAAAGATAGGAATACTTCAAAATTAAAGACAAGAGGTACAGTAAATTAGTAAATTGATGGCCTCCAATGAACCAGACCTCCTAATCATCTCTGTCACATATCCTCTCCCACACAGAAGTCTGAGCTTAGCCAAAAGACTTGTTTTGGCCAATTTGATATTAGAAAGCACTGGCAAGCATAGGCATGATAAGCACTTGCACATGGGACTTGCCTCCTTGGAACACTACACTTGGAAATCAGCTGTCATGCTGTAATAAATTTTGAGCTACACTCCTGAATATTGAGAGGTACATAGAGAGATCATGAAAGATAAAAGGCCATCTTAGATATTCCACCCCCAGTAACTCCCAAATGCATGTCAACTGCCACAGTGACCTCAGCCCATACCTAAGGGAACAGAAAAACTGCTTAGCTAAGCCCAGTTAACCCACATACTTGAGAGAAATAATAAACTGTTGTCATTTTAAGCCACTACATTTTGGAGTGGTTTATAAAGCAGCAATAGATAATGACAGAATGTTTAAGAATTTCAAGAATACAAGACTGGCCGGGCATGGTGGTGCACATCTGTAATTTCAGCACTCAGGAGGCTGAGGCAGGAGGAT